TGCTTAGACAATTGACAAATAAAAATTGTATATGTGGTGTACAACATGATGTTTTGATATATATATATACATTGTGGAATAAATAAATCAAGCTAATTAACATATGCATCACCTCACATACAGTACTATTTTTGTGTGTGTGATGAGATGGAGTTAACTTTATTATTTTTCTTTTATAGTTTGTGATTTCTGCCTAAGAAACATTTGCCTATCCCAAGGTTGCAAAGATGACCTCCAATGTCTTCTAGGAGTTGAACAGTAAATTTTGAGTAATTTTATTTCATGGTATGAGGTAAGAGACAAGTTTCATTTTTTTCTCCAAAAAAATAAAAATTTTTTCTCCAAAATCCATGGGAAGTCCATGGGATTTTTGAAAGAGAAAGAGTCTGGAAGCAGCAGTGAAAAGCACCTGCCTGACCTCCTGGCCCTGACATACATGGAGCATTGTATGCCATGCGATAACAATGCACTGGGAAGAGCAAAAGTTTCTGTTAAAGCAAAAGAAAATCTGAAAAAAACACAGTAATGCTTGTTGAACCCAGGTGGTTCCAAGGTGCATACTGAAAGGGTTTGAGAGGGCCGGGGGGGATGTTGTCAGGCCAAATTAGGGAATATAAAGAGGAATGGAAATGATAGGGCATATTACATTATTAATTAAAACACCTTTTTCCCCACCACAGATGTCCTTGTTAAAATGCTGCATGCCTATTTATCTTTTATTTCCAAGGAATAAAAAAACCAACAAAAACCATACTATTTTAACATGTTATATATAGCTTATAATATGTAAATGCTTAACCTGATAATACCTTGTTGCAAAATGTAATGTAAAATACATCAATATCAAATGTTTATTTAAAACTACCAAGATCCCATTACCTGTGAGGCATTGCACTAGGTACTGTGGAAAACTAAGAAAGGAAGATAATAAAGTAAAATAAAGAGGAATGGTGTTCAGGGTAGATTATTCACAGGGGTTATTATATTATCTGAAATTTACATTAAAATACTTAGCCTTGAAAGTGTAATATATATTTACATGTAAATTAATTTTTCAAAATCTAAATAGTTAACATTTGAAGTACCATAATCTACAGAATTCAAAAATTAGCATAAGAGATGTTAGGTATTTTTCACTGGTGACATGAGGGGTAGCAGGATATGTGGACGGGCTTGAAAATTGTGTTGGCACTTCACAAACAGAATATAAGAATCAGTAAGCATTTGGTGTGACTGGGTGACCTCTTTGTTTATTTATTTATTTTTTTGGGGGGTGACCTCTTTGAACTTTGATTTCCTTCTCTGTAAAATGGGAAAAATAATCTGTACCTCCTAAAGTATGCTGAGAGGAATGATGAGACACACCCAGCTCTGGGCCTGGCCCTTAATGACTGTCCCACAGGCTTACTTGTTCCTTTTCCTTTTATCACTCTCATTATCACAATACTTTGAGCTCCCTATTTTGTCACTTGCCATGTTATCTTTCATGTCCTCATCTCAATTTTATTGCTAGACACAGTCTTCAAGCTTAACTAGTGCTGCCATCCCTCTGAAGGTCTCAGGGCAAAGTTTATCAACTCTTAGTGTACCTAATCACCCGGGATACTTTTTTAAATGCAGATCCCAACGCTTTGACTCAAAAGAATGTGATTCCGTGTATCTGTCTGGGTGAGGTCCAGGAAACTGCGGTATGTAAGCACAACCAGCTATGAATTAAGGGGTCAAGGATCATACTCAGAGAAATCTGGGATCTGAGAAAAACCTGCTTCAGAAGCCCTACAGTTGCATTTTCTTCAAATCCGGGTGGGGACCCAAACAAAGACAGCTGACCTAGTTCTCCAGTTCCACATGGAGCCTCAGACTGAGCTGACCCAGAAACCTGAAGCAAGCTCTTCACCCGTGCTACTTGCTTCTGCTCTTCCTGACAACGTGAAAATCATTTTTACTGGTCCACCATCCATCTTCCCTTTTTCTGGTCACCCCCTGGACTTTCCCTACTCCTAGTCCAGGTGGTTCAAGCAAAGCTGACCTCTCTTCCTGCCAAGTCAATAAAGGTCAGCCTCTGGGAAACTTACAAGAACAAGAGAGGTCTTCCTAGTAGGAACCTAAGCCTGGAGAGCCTATCTGAGAATGAAAAATAGACATGGTGCCCCTATGACACCTTTAGGCCCCCGGAGTTTCTGGTAATATGAGCTACTAGTTCTCTTCTTGTTTCAGTCAGTTGAGGTAGAATTTCTTCTTGCAATCGAGAGTTCTAACTAATACACAGAGCCACCCCCCTAAACGAGGGGCACCCTCACTTCTCCTCTTGCCCCTACACTTCTCTGTACAAACAGATCCTTCCTCTCTGGGCAGTCCCAAACACCTCCCTTGTCCCTTGCTTTCCTCAGAAAATGTCACCTCTTTGCTACAACTAAAATCCTAAGGACTCAGTTTCCCATGTCCCCGTAGGCAGGGAATCTTGTTCCTTAGGACGAGGTCTGGCCCACTTTTCTTACACCCTTTGGGACCAAAAAAAAAATCTTTTCCTTTGAGACTCATGTGTAAGAACTCACTACTCGTTACTAATTTCCTGTTTTCCTGTTACATAATTCACTTAAGACTGACACCTGGTTTACAGTCTCTCCTTCTACCCTAGCTGTGCCATCATTCCAGATAGATCTCTCCATTCCATTTAATAGCCTGTAAGCATCGTTCACGTAGCATTCACTTCACACCAGGCACAGTTCTAAGCACTTTCCATATATTTTAGCTCACTCAACTCTTGTAAACGCATGAGGTATTATTATCCCTGTTTTACAGATGAGGAAACTGAGGCGCAGAAACGTTGCTTAGACTTGCCTAGAGTACCCAGCTACTAAGTGGTAAAACGAAGATGAGCATGAGAGAGTCTAATTAATCGTAGAGTTGGGACTCTTAACACGCACTCTGGCCCCCTGGTTCCCTATTCTCTATAATTGTGACATCCTCCACATCTACTCTGTGCTGGTCCTGCAGAGGTGGGAGGGAGTTAGAACCTCCTCCAACTGAAGAAGCTCTCTGGAGAGATGTCAGCTGAGTGTGGCCTGGATGGCCATTGGAGATCTGCACCTCCCCTCCCCATGGCTCAATTGTTCACTGGCATCTCCTGTGCAAATTCACCAACTAATAGGTAGGAAGCTGGGATGTAACTGGACTGAAGATTCAGCAGCAGAAAAGCAGGTTATAGATTCTGCTCTCAGGGTTCCATAATAAGGATGCTCTCAGTCCCAGCAGTCCTTACTCTCTTTGGGAAGGTTGCTGTATAGGGCAGTCCATCCTCCCTCTATCTAGGGCTGTCCTTAAAATGTGTCCCTAGTCTATATCCATGGCCTGGCACCGCTCAGCCCTCTAGAGACTTTACACAATAGGTTCAAAACCTCTGGTTTTCTCCCCTCATCTCTATTTGAAAGAGCAGGGAGAAGGAAGCCAGAGGCTCTGGAGGGTGGCCAGACAACAGCTTCACTATTCCCGGACAATCACACCAAAATGAAGCTTCATCCAGAGCTGCTCAACTCTGAAAAGGCAGACCCAGGACCCTCCCTCCCAGGCTTCTGGCTCTCACTCCTCTCTCCAGCTCAACAGCTGCACCTCCGCTTTCACTTTCAGCTCCTGACAGGCCCTCCTGGCTTCACCATGCCAGCTAACATACCTTCCGCAGTCCCCAGTCCTGCCAGACCCACCTGCAGCATACATCCCTGTGGCAATACAAACTCAACTTCTTTGTTCCAGGCATCCACCTCTAGTAGAAAAATCTCACACAAATTTGTGTACGGGTGTCACTATAAATATATGGGGTGGCTGAGCTCAGCCAGGCCCCACATGACACCAAACAAGCCTAATTAGTACTCACATCTATTAGATTTACTGAGTACTTACTATGTGCCAAACACTGTCCTAATCACTTCACGATCACTTTAACCCTCAAAACACCCCCCCCGTGAGAGAGAGAGAGAGAGAGAGAGAGAGAGAGAGAGAGAGAGAGAGACCATCAAGATTCCCATTTTACAGAAGGGAAAACTGAGACCCTGGGAAGTCAGGACCTACCCAGGGCCACAGCTGCATAACTCAGTTGCAGAGCTCACCCTGGCCGCACTTACATCTCACAAGCAGCTGTCTGCTGGTCAAGAGCCCGGCCAGACCCCGGGCCGTCTCTACCGCACTGACTGCTGTGTGTAAGGCTGAAGCAGCAGGTTCATCGATGAAAGTGAAAGGACGGGAGGTGGAAAGAAAGAAGAGAACCGTTGCAGCAAATTCCAGAAAGGAGGCGAGGGCGCACACAGAAAGATATTTCCTGGTCATCGTTACTCAGCACTTTGTGGGGTTCAAGGGGCTGGGGACCCAGGGCGTGGCGAGGCTCTTCGAGGAATCCAGCCCTGCCTGGGCGGTCCCAGGGCTGTTACCAACCATCTCGAGCCTGGGCGCGTTCGATTAAGGCTTGGCTGACGCATTCCCAGGTGACCCGGGAGGGAATGACCCTGTGGTTCTGAGGGTGGCCGTCCGCCTCCCACCGCCCTGTGCACCGCACGCGCTCTTCAGGTCGCTCGATGGCCCCCACAAAACACCAGTTCCAGCCGGGGTACTGGTAGAGGAGCCTGGGTTTCAGGGGCGGG